AACTGGACTGAGGGAGGGTCTAGTGTGGAGTTGGGACCCCCTTGCCTTAGACGGGAGGCCTTCACAGCAGAGATACTCCTCCCAATTAAAATCACACCACACGTGGGTGTTAGACCAGCCTGTTCCACACCTCCACCCCTCCTACCAGTCTCAATGTACTTTTTTTTTACTTCTCTAGTTGTAGGACTTCTATTCAGCCAGATTTCAGGTGGTTCTGATGATGGATGCTCTGTATTTTAGTTGTAATTTTAAAGTGGCTGTGGGTGGCAGTGAGTATCAGTATCAGCATTTACTTATGCCACCATCTTGGTTCTTGGGCCAACAGCTCTCTTTTATAAGAAAATCTACTGTTCTTGTCATAACTTATAGAATGCATGCTTTCCTGCTATTACAATGATGGCTTTAACCAAAAAACTCCATAATTCAAATTGGCAGCTAGAAATTCTATGACTCTAGAGACACCAAATGGAGATCACAATTACCGCAGATTTTCAGTGCAACTAGAGCAGTGATGGCGAACCTTTTGAGCTCAGCGTGTTAGCATTTTGAAAAACCCTAACTTAACTCTGGTGCCGTGTCACATATAGAAATTTTTTGATATTTGCAACCATAGTAAAATAAAGACTTATATTTTTGATATTTATTTTATATATTTAAATGCCATTTAACAAAGAAAAATCAACCAAAAAAATGAGTTTGCGTGTCACCTCTGACACGCGTGTCATAGGTTTGCCATCACTGAACTAGAGGGTAAGTTTTCTCTTCTTTACAACTTTTAATTAAAAACTACATAATGACCTTGTAGGGTAGGGGAGGAACCCATAGTTCCCCTTCCTCATATTTTCCTAGAAGGGGAGAGAATTTCCCTAGGAGTGAAAGTATAGATAGGAAGAGCATTTCACTTTTCCCCACTCCTTCCAGAAGGGAAGACGTGCCTTCGCTGATTGGTCACCCTTAGGCCAAACTGGCTTGGCTGAGCCCTTTCCTCTTTCTTTTCAGATCCAGCTGGTTTGCAGAAGCCCCTATATGCTCCCTCATGTCCTACGTGGTAGGGGCAGCCTCTGACTCTATGAGCGAAATCTCCCATTGCCTGCCTATGTCATTGGTGAGCTATGAACAAGTCCACTTGGCAACAGATCTAAAGCCATGCTCTTTCATGTTTAATGGAGGTAGCTGACACTCTGACCTCCATTTATCTTTTTCTAATTTCTTGAGAAGAAAAAACAAAGATTTTTTTTTACTGGCCCCTTAAAGCTACAAACTAGAACAAGAGGTAAAATGCAAATAAACCAGACAGAGAAGAGCTCTTTCTTTTTCCTTCCCATTCACATGATTTTTGAAAGCACTTACTAAGAATTCACACATGTAATTAATAAGATAGTTTTGTCTTATTGAACAAATAATACTACTCTTTAGTCACATTATCAATATGATCGCACAAGCTCAGCAAAGGTTAAAAGCCAAAGCACTGAAGGCCTAGTGGTGGAAACTACACAAATACAAAAAAATATAATGAAGTAGTATTCGCCCCTAGGAACAAAATCACATTTTGAAGCAATTCTAGTTAGATTAGAAGATCTCATATTGGATTCTTCTAGATTTAAAATTCTGATTTCTATCTAAAACTGTATATGCAGCTTGCATAGATCATTTTAAATCATGTTTTTGATAGTGTCTTTTTTTATTTGTTTTATTGGGGTGACATTAGTTAATAAAATTATATAGGTTTCAGATGTACAATTCTATAATACATCATCTATATGTTGTATTGTGCGTTCTCTAATCCAAGGCAAGTCCATCACCATTTATCTCCCCTTTATCCTCTTCTACCTCCCTCCACCCCCTTTCCCTGTTAATCACCATTCTGTTATCTGTCTATGAGTTTTGTTCATTTTTGCTTTTTAGAGCTTCTTTAGCAGTTCAAGTAAAGTGCAGCTATAGAAACAAGTCAATGAATAAACATGAATAGCTTACTCTTCGTATGTAAAAATAGACATTTCCCTGTACTACTCAAAGTTTTTGAAGGGACTCAATCAGGTAATATATGTGAAAAAGTTTATCAAAATTCCAGACATGCACATTTTAGTTGTTTCCTTTTTCTATAGCCTGCAGCTATTATCTTTAGCCACTAGATGGCAATGCTGCTCCAGTAAATTACTGCACAAAGGGAAGTCTAGATTTTATTTAACTTTTAAAAGGAAAATGTGTGCCCCAGCCGGTTTGCCTCAGTAGATAAGAGTGTCAGCCTGTGGCCTGAAGGGTTCAATTCCGGTCAAAGGCATATGCCCGGGTAAAGCAGCCGATTAATGATTCTCTCTCATCATTGGTGTTTCCATCTTTCTCTCTCCCTCTCCCTTCCTCTCCAAAAACAATAAAAATATATTTTTTAAAAAATTTTTAAATAATAAAAACCAAAGTAAAATGTGCCAGACCCAGTGCGGCTCAGTGATTGAGCAACAACCTATGAACCAGGAGGTCACGGTTCAATTCCTGGTCAGGGCACATGCCCAGGTTTCAGACTTGATCCCCAGTGGAGGGTCATGCAGGAGGCAGCTGATAATGATTCTCTCTCATCATTGATGTTTCCATCTCTCCCTTCCTCTCTAAAATCAATAAAAAACATATTTTAAAAATAAATAAATAAATAAAATACAAGTAAAATATTAGAGGTGGGATAGGCGGAAGTGGGCAAAGTAGGGATTTATGGAGACAGAAAGAGACTTTACTTTGGACGATTAGTGCACAATGCAGTATGCAGATGATTTTCTTTTTTTGGGGGGGGAGGGGTGTATAAGAATGTGTCTTTATTGTAGAAGCCAGAGGCTACACAGTGATATCGTATTGTACATGTGAAACCTCTATAGTTTTATGAACCAATGTCACCCCAATAAATTCAATTAATAAAAATAAATTTTGAAAATATAAAAATAAAAAAAATAAATGTGTAAAAAAATTAAATTACAGGGCTTTTCCTGGCATTTAATGAGCTTATAGATAAAACTTTCAACATCTAAAAGAAGCTGTAATAATTTCACATTCTGCAAGAAATAAAAGTGCTAATGGTGCCTATACTTACCATTTTAAAAAATCTTAATTCATTTGAATTAACAAATGTGGGAAATCCTATGAAAAGGGCATTGTATAAGGTAAGACATTTGTTGATAGCTAATAAAAATGTCTAAATATTTACCTCTGACCCCAAACTGAGAGAAATGATCTCATCCTCAAATGCAGAATGTGTGTCAATATGAGCAGGAATTCCTGAGATGGAGGGTAGGAAAACACGTTACTTCATTTTCCCTTTCAATAGATTCAAGACAACTCTAAATATAGCTTCACACTATTATGGTGAAAATATTGTCCGATTATCAGAAATATACTATCATTTTAGTTAAAAGGAAACATTTAAGGTCAATGTGACTAAATAAAATTAAACTAAATCTACACTAAAAATCTCTCAACTTCATGTTCAAGTGCTATTGAGACTTGATTCTAAAATCAAGACTTGAAAATCACTGCTTAATTAGGACATTTACTCAACCCCAGCCCAAGAAGAAGATTTGAAAGATAAATAACAAAGTCATGTTTCCCCTTAAACACTGGATTCCCAAAAACAAACAATAACCAGATGTGAAGGCTAAGTATATGAATAATTAAGATATGGTTTCCCCCACCAATCTCTCAATCTATGTTACCTGAGCATCTCTTAAGTGAAAGGAACTCTGCTACATGGTGAGAGTATACAAAGTAAATAAGACAGTTCCTGTTCCCAAGGAGCTTACAGATCAATGTTAAGACTGACTGGTAAATAGGCCATCATAATACATGGTGATAAATGCAGGAAAAACAATCCAGAACGCTTGCCATTAATAACACTTTCAAGATCATTCAATTACTACAAATATCAGATGGAGATGCTGCTAACAAGTGTAAAAAAATCAATAACCTAAAGATTTTTCCATAACATGTCATCCTAGAATTGTCTTCTATACTCTCAACAGAGAAAAAAGAATAAGATCATCCAACCAATTAGCCTTCTTCTTTGTAGAGGCACAGCTCAATTCCAGACCAGCACAATAAAGTGAGTATCACAATAGAGTGAGTCATAATCTTTTGGCCGGTGGGGGAAAATTTCATACTATCTATTGAAATTTAATATGCGCAATTTTGCCATGGCAATTCTGCTTCTAGGAATTTATTTTATAAAATTTTCCATAACTATGTAAAAGTCTACACAGTGTTTATGATAACAAAAATGTCCAATCTAAATTCCACCTTTAGAAAAAAGTTAGTACTTTTTAGAATATATGTGCACAATAAAGTTTAAAAATCCAAAAAACAAGCCCAACTGGCATGGCTCAGTGGTTGAACGTTTACCTATGAACCAGGAGGTCAAGGTTCAATTCTTGGTCAGGACACACATCCGTGTTTAGGGCTCAATCACCTGTGGGGAACATGCAGGAGGCAGCCCATCAATGATTCTCTCTCATCACCGACGTTTCTCTCTCTCTCTCTCTGCCCCCCTCTCCCTCTCTCCCTCTCTCCCCCCGCTTCCTCTCTGAAATCAATAAAAATGTAGATTTTTTAAAAACCCAAAAAACAAAAACAAATGTGTAAAAAGTACAACATTTGTAATGTGCAATGCACTAAAACGAAGCACAATAAAACAACATGTGCCTGTATTTATAAATTATTTGGTTTCTTCCATTATACATGTCTCCTGTTTTTAATACAATCTTCTCCATCTCTAAATAAAATATTGAGAGGGGAACAAAAAAGAGTCACGAATAGTAATTTGTGTCAGTTTACACTTTGAGATGCAAGTGTCTCAAGAGAGTGACGTAGATTTGCAAGGGATTAAAGTCAACGCAGCAAAACATAAGCAGTTACTATAAGAGTGTGATATTCCTGATATCAAAAAATGATATATTTGATCATTGTGTTTCATAATCTACTTAGTTATAAAATTTGACTGTAATTTTTAAAGAAGAAATACTCACCATGCCCAGGTTCATACTGGTTCACAGTCAACTGATCAGGTTTGTGTCTAATGAAGCCTTCTTTCAACCATTTCTCCAACATGCTATCACAAATGTCAGGAAGACCTGAGGTAATTTTTTATAAAGGTGAAATATATCACAGTATTTACTTTGCATGTTTTGTCCAAGAATAAAAACATAGTCACTGTGATAAAAAACCATACAGCTTTTAATTTAGTAGTCAGATGAAAATATAACAATAAACACACAAGCAAAGCAAAATATAAAGAAAAACCTTCCTAAGAATCTTTTAAAGTTATTATTGATTTTATCAAATTAAACAAAAAAATAACAATTTTTGTTAACCACAATTTTGTTTTTTGCAAAATAGCAATAAAATTATAAATTGCTATATTCTATACTGGAAATTAACCTGATCACTTTCCTTTAATTTAAAATTTTTCAATTTATTTTAAATCTAATTATTTTACATTATTTTTCTTTAAAAAAAAAAACCACACACTTTTAAAAGTCAAACTAACTTACTTTCACTGGAAGAAACCCTTAAATAGGACCAAAGTCATATAAATACAGATAAATTAAATTCAACAAAGAATTTTATCAAAGGATTAATATCTATATTATATAGTAAGTTCTTATTAATAAACTAGAGGCCCGGTGCATGAATTTGTGCACAGGTAGGGTCCCTCAGCCTGGCTGGGATCAGGGATGATTGGGGCCAGCTGGCCGGGGGGGAAGGGACCATAGGAGGTTGGCCGGCTGGGGGAGGTTGGCTGTGGGATTGCACTGACCACCAGGGAGCAGCTCCTGCACTGAACGTCTGCCCCCTGGTGGTCAGTGCACGTCATAGCAGCCGGTCGACCAGTCGTTCGGTCAACCGGTCATAACAGTCGCTTAGGCTTTTATATATATAGATTAGACAACCATTAGAAAAAACTGGTAAAGGATATGAAAAATAATTCACAGGAAAAGAAATACAAATGGCCAACCTCACTGCTAATCAAGTAATTATAAGGTTAAAAATTTTACAATTACCACATGTTGGTCAGGGTAGGGGGGAGTGGTACACACTTGGTAAGAATCATGGTATAGTTGTTTATTAAATAAACATAACTTTACAAAATTCTAATATGCTAATCTCCCTTTAGAAACTCTTGCATGAAGAGGCATGTACAAAGGTTCTCACTGAAGCACTACTTGTAAAAGCTAAAAGCTAGAAAGAACTTAAATGTCTATCAAAAGGGAACTAACTGAATAAGCTATTATCATCTTTCAAAAAATGAAAAACTATGTAAGATCTCTAAAGGGACAAGAACAAGTTGGAGTAATACATGTAATATATTAAACAACATAATACTCATATTAACAACTATACATACACTCTTATATTTGGATATAAACTCATATAGTAAAGGTTTGGAATACTATATTCTAAACTGTTAATGGCACTACTTCTAAGAAGAAGTATGGAAGTACAGATAGTGTTCAAGAAAAACTTTAGCTTTATCTGTTTGTGTGAAGTTTTTTTTAACACAAAATTGCACTATTTAGCTAATTAGAATGTAGTTTAATCAACTGTTTTGAAAGTTTACCTAAAAATGACAAATGAAACACCCTCAACTATGATTTACTTCTAATACATTAAATCTTTTTTTTCTGAATCAACATTTACTAACAATTACTTACCTCCAGGTAATGGCTTATCTTTATGTACATTGTTATTCTCATAGTGGAATTCATAACCAAAATGCTTTACTCTTCTGTGTTTTAAAGATTTTTGAACTGTATGAAGAGAATAAAGTAAACTACTTGGGTAAAAAAGAATTTCATTCCTTCAAGTATTTCAAAATTAACATTATGAGTAAGGATTACATTAGTAATAGTAACTTTTGTTAACTGCTATGTTATTGTCTTTAATAACATCAACGTTCTACCTCGAATCTGCTGTTCTTTTAAGTCTAAAGTAGTAACAAGCACTTAAACAGTTTCAAATCAATCTGACAGAGCTAACTAAACATGTACATTGCCACTCACAAGACTGCTAATGATCTGGAAAGAGTCACAGTAACTAATTTGCAAATATCTCCAGAAGGCTCTCACTACATGATGATGGTATGGCAATGACCTGCTGATTCCTCAGAGGAAATCTGCCTTACGGAGGAGAGGATCATATAAGATGATGTATGTAAAAGGGCTTACAAATGTTAGGTCTACAAATGTTGGCTAATCAATATTAACCAGTTTGGAGTTTAAAATTAATGGCTATATAAATGTTATTTATTATTAATACTACTAAGATTTGTCAGTGTGGCTTGCCCAATATTGGATCCAGGCTACTTTAAGTAATTGTGAGGAAACATCAGTTTTAATAAGCCAAATGGGGAGAAGAAAAGAAGGATCAGTAACATAGCATTTTGCAGACACTTTTAAAAATCAAATTTTAAAGTTTTTACTTACAATTTGGATTATCTGTATCTTCTGTCCAGTTAACACTTTCCAAAAGCAGTTTCTCATCCTCAGAAGAAATAATTTCTTCTACTACTTTGAGGCCTGGAGGTAAGGCTTGAAGCCCCAACTCTTTCCACTGTGCTGTGGAAAACCAAATTAAAATAGTCACATACAAAACTTGAAGTTCTATATACAAATAACTCTGCCCAATAGCCATTTATCAGTTCAAAAAACTCCCAATCCTTGTTTTATGAAATAAGAATGCCAAAAGGCACAACATACTAAAAGGGCAAAACAAAGATCAAGGTAAAAATTATGATACATTTTATCCACTGCAATTACCAACAGCAAATAGAATAGTATTTACTTAAATATTCCGTTTGAATGTAATTGAGTAATTTTTTAAATCTCACTAAGAAAATGTTTTTCAGTTTCAGTCAAGATGGAGGCATAGGTGAAAGTGGTACTTGAATCTTCCTACAACCACATCAAATTACAACTAACCCTCAGAATAACCCTCACTCAGAACTGCCAAAATCTAGCTGAACAGAAGTCCTACCACTAAGGATATAAATAAGAAGCTACATCAAGACTGGTAGGAGGGGCATAGTCATGGAATGAGCTGGTCCTACACCCACAGTGGTAGTTCAAACTGGGAGGGACTGAGAATCTCAGAGGGAACGGGGGTCAGGGGGGAAGGAGCTCGGGATGGGAAGTCATTAACCAAAGAATTTATATGCATATATGCATAATCCATGGACACACACACACACACACAAATTGGGAAGATATCTTGGCTGCCGAGGTCCCACCTGAGCTGAGGAGCGAGAGGTCCCACCTTCACACCAGGCCCCCAGCTCAGGTTTCCAGTGGCAGAAAGAGAAGGGCCCATAACTTCTGGTTGTGAAAACCAGTGGGGATTGTGGGTGAGTGATTGGAGGGCTGCTGGAGTCCCAGGTGTTACTCTCATGGACCCACATATAGACTTACTCAGACTCACTGGCTCTGAGTTCCAGTGCTGGGACAGCACTCAAAAGGCAACAGACATATGGGGAGGAAGTGAATTGTCCGGCATCAGGGAAAAAGCTAGAGTGGCAGCTTTCTCTCAGTAAGAAGTGCTGGCAGAAGCCATTGTTCCTTTTCTGAGCCCTCCCCCAACAGAGCTGGTAGATGGGCACCATATCTGAGTCTCCATCAACCTGGCTAACACTGTTGGCCCCACCCTGGAGATTCTCTGAGACCCTACCCCACCAAATATGCAGGCCCATGCAAGCCCTTTCCAGGGGCTTTTTTATACAAATGACCTATCTTGGCTCATGCTCCAGTGGCAAGAAATATTTAAAGTGGTGAAAAGCAAGGACCTACAACCAAGATTACTCTACCCTGTAAAACTATTACTTAAAATCAAAAGGCAGATAAAGAGCCTCCCAGACAAGAAAAAGCTAAAGGAGTTCATCACCACCAATCCCTTTTTACAAGAAATGTTAAAGTGTCTTCTTTAAGAAGAAAAAACGGATTAAAAATATGAAAAATAGAATGGCAATAAATACATATCTATCAACAATTACTTTAAATGCAAATGGATTACATACTCTAATTAAAAGACATATGAAGGCTGAATGGATAACAAAACAAGACCTTTACATATGCTGTCTACAAGAGACTCACTTCAGATCAAAAGACACACAGAGACTGAAGGTACAGGGATGGAAAAAGAATTTCATGAAAATGGAAACAAGCAAACAAAAAAAAAGCTGGGGTAGTAATACTTATACCATACAAATTAGACTTTAAAAAAAGGCTATAACAAGAGACAAAGAAGGACCCAGCAATTCCACTTCTGGGTATTTATCTGAAAAAACCCAAAACACTAAATTGAAAAGACATATACTCAATGCAGCATTTACAGTAGCCAAGGTAAGGAAGCAATATAAGTGTACACCAATAGATTAATGGATAAAGAAGTGGTGCATATATACAATAGAATATGACAGCCATAAAAAAGAATGTCTTGCCCTATGCAACAACAATGGATGGACCTAGAAGGTATCATCCTGAGTGAAATAAGTCAGACAAAGAAAGACAAATGCCAGATAATTTCACTTATATGTGGAATCTAAAAAACAAACTAAATGAACAAGCAGAAGGGAAACAGACTCTTAGATACAGAGAACATTTTGATGGTTGCCAGATGGAAAGGAGGTTGAGGGGATGGGTAAAAAAAGTACAGGGCTTAATTAAGATGTACAAATTATAGTATAGTCATGAGGATGTACAGTACAGCATAGGGAATATAGTCAATAATATTCTAGCCCAGCCTGTGTGGCTCAGGGGTTGAGCATCAACCCAGAAACCAAGAGGTCATGGTTCGATTCCCCATCAGGGCACATGCCCAGGTTGGGGTCTTAATCCCCAGTAGGAGGTGTGCAGGAGCAACCAATTGATGATGTTTCTCTCTCATGGATGTTTCTATCTCTCTATCCCTCTCCCTTCTTCTCTCTCTAAAAATCAATAAAAACATATAACTATGTATGGTGACAGATGGGTACCAGATTTATTAGGGCGATCACTTAGTAAGTTACATAAATGTCTAATCACTGGGTTGTACACCTGAAACTAATATAATATTGTACATCAACCATAACTGAAAAAAATTATTGAAAGTAAAAAAAAAGAAACAAGGTTTTTTCATAATATCTACAATATGTCCCTCTATAAACAAGTCAGATTGTCTGTACAAATTAAAATCCCAACTTCGATGTGAAAAGTAAACTCAAACAAAAGCAAGAACTAGTTTGAAAAAGATACCTGTATGATACTACCTTTTTCCACAAAATTCAAGTACAGAATGATCTTCTGTCCTAAATCATCCACTATTTTTTGTCCATTGAGGGTAACATAGGCTTTCTTGGATTCCTCTATAGTTTTGTACGTTACAAATGAGTAGGGCTTATTAGGTGGCATTAAGAGAGCATCCACCTGTCCGAGTTTCTCTAATTCCGGAAGCAGTTGGTTCCTACTCACACCGTTACCCAAACCACCATTGGCAACAACCAGGATCTTAAAAAAACAAAAAGAAAGTTAACACGAACAACTGATATCAACCTGTTTCTTTTTAAAATATCTTTTTAAATAAGATAAAATAAGATTATTTTTAAATAACATTTCTACAAAGGTGTAATTATGAAAGAAAAAAGGGTTTTTTTAGTTGTTATTTGGTTTTCTAATATCAATGTAAATCAATTTACTAAATACAGTATTTGGGAATTAAAAAGTATTCCTATGTTGTAAATAATATTGATTTTGAAAGTCTTTTCAGTAAAATATTCATTTCTTAATAACCTATATACAAATTAAAATATAACCTTTACTGTTCATAAACATAACTAAACACAATGAAAGAGAAAGAAAAGGGAGAAAGGAAAAGGAACAAGGAGTTACTGATACTTGCTTTTTGCCAGACACTGGCTATATGATTTTACCTACTTAATCCTCATTAACATAATCTTCACAACAATTCTATAAAGTGGGTAATATTAGCCTCCCTTCATCAAGTAAGAAACTGAAGATGAGCAATACAGTATTAGGTGAAGGTAGTGTTTAGGAGGAGCTGGGTTTCAAACTTATTTCTATCTGCTTTCAGAATTCACTTTTGGTATCACCACCATACAGTGTTTACTAAAAACTAAAAGTGAAGGCAGTGACTCAAAGAAAACCAATTACAGATTCCTTAAATATAAAATGGGAAAATTTTCCTCTGTGCCTGAGTAATTCATTCATTTTTGTAAATATTTTTTTCTTTTTAAGGTTCATGCTGACTTTCTGTCATTTACAGTCCTGCACACAATTTTATTCAAGGAATTCTGATTATTCTAGTCTTTGTACTTAAAAAAACACCCTACATGGTGTTAAGATCTTAATGATTCATGACTCCTAAAAATTTTATAGCATAACAAAAGTAAACCACTGATGGCATACTTTCATCATTTATAGCAGATATTGGCAAACTTCTGAAAATGGTCAGAGAGTAAATATTTTAGGCTCCACAGCATACAAGTCTCTGTCACATAGTCTTATTTTTATTTAACAACCTTTAAAAATGTAAAACTCACTCTTGCCTCACAAGTCAGAGGACAGTAGTTTGCCAATGTCTGATTTATACTAACCTGGAGATTGGAACATAATGTACTAGTTTCATATACACAAAATGGGGCTATCTAGAACCTTGTTTTTAAAAAGTATATAATAAAACTAGAGGCCTGGTGCATAAAATTCTTACACTCGGGGGAGGAGAGTCCCTCAGCCTGGCCTGCACCCTCTTGCAGTCCGGGAGCCCTCGGGGTGCGGGCCTAAGCCAGGAGTCGGACATCCTTAGCGCTGCAGCGGAGGCAGGAGAGGCTCCCACCACTGCCCCTGCGCTCACCAGCTGTGAGCCCAGCTGCGTGAGCCCAGATGTGGCTGAGCAGCGTGGGAGCGCATTGATTCCAGGGGGCAGCTCCTGCATTGAGCATCTGCCCCCTGGTGGTCAGTGCACATCATAACGACCAGTCGTTCCTTATTAGCCTTTTATTATATAGGATTGTTATAAAATTGGATAATAAGAAAGGTAAAGCTTTGTTCTTTCATGGGACAGCCAATACTTTATTTTTTTAAATATATTTTATTGATTTTTTGCCAAAACCGGTTTGGCTCAGTGGATAGAGCGTCGGGCTGCGGACTGAAGGGTCCCAGGTTCGATTCCGGTCAGGGGCATGTGCCTGGGTTGCGGGCACGTCCCCGGTGAGGGGATGTGCAGGAGGCAACTGATCGATGTTTCTAGCTCTCTATCTCTCTCCCTTCCTCTCTGTAAAAAATCAATAAAATATATTTAAAAAAATATATATATATTTTATTGATTTTTTTACAGAGAGGAAGGGAGAGGGATAGAGAGTCAGAAACATCAACGAGAGAGAAACATCGATCAGCTGCCTCCTGCACACCCCTTACTGGGGATGTGCCGGCAACCAAGGTACATGCCCTTGACCAAAATCGAACCTGGGACCCTTTAGTCCGCAGGCCGACACTTTATCCACTGAGCCAAACCGGTTAGGGCGGACAGCCAATACTTTAAATATGCAAGTACACACATTCACATAATAAACAAACACACTAAACAATACAGTATAAAATTTAGCCTTAGATGGCTTGCCCCGGACCTCACTCAATAAGGTTTATAATTTAAAGTATCAAAATAATTTGGTTACATGCAGCCATAGTTACAAAAACATTTCCATATTCCCAAATCTAAGGAACTGCAAAGGTTTTATAAATGGCCAGGGTCCACTGAGGAACTGAGGAAGATGTGAGGTGTGACTTAAAGAATACTAGTGGTCCTCAAAATGCTAAGTTCAATGGGGGATGGAAGGGAGGAATTTATTTCCTATTACATGTGAGTTATACAATATAATTAAATGTAATAAATGTTTTATTTATCATATTCAGCTAAGCAATTTTCCCAATGATATGAAGTAGAGAATTTAAAATTTTTTTAAAGTTATCTTCAATCCTGACAATTTGAGGATCACTACTCTAGAAAAATCTCACAGTGGCTATAGATTTGCACAAAGCATCCATATTTATAACACCTGGTGAAAAGAGCATTTGTTCTCCCAGGGGTAGATAATATATAATTAGAGGTCCTTCTATAATTTTATTCCTTTCCCTTCAAATTATTGTGGAGAAAAATATCAAGCCTAAATAAGATGGCGCTTTGGAAGACACAAAGGTAAGAATAAAGCTTCTAGAGATCCGAATGAAAAGATAGACACAAGCAAAAAACATGCTTCAGAGGGAGCCCATTTCTTTTCTTACCACTTCTCTTTGTGATCCATGTAAGGAAAAGAAAGCAAATTACACTTGGGAAGAAATGAGAAAAGGGTATAATTTTCCAAATGCTGCACAGCCTCCGTGGCTCTTGGCAGAAAGTGTATGCAGACATATTAACCCTAATATATGATCTATCCCAACCTTTTTAAAGGTATTGGATTTAAATTCCCTGAAGTTATTAATATGTGACAAAATCTAAGGAAGGGTCTTTACCTGCTAAATTTCAATCTCCCCCAATAGAGTACTCATTCCTAAACTATTGTGCAGCACAGAAGATAGCATTTTCATGATATAAGGGAAGAGTATTGGTCTGAGAGTCAAGAGACCTACATTTTAATCCCAGCTTCACCTTCTCAATTGTTTGTCTTTGGCCCTCAGTTAAATGATGCTAAGCTTCCTTCCTACTCTTATATCATAAGAATACTTCCTATCCATATGGTACTTTAATGACTAATAAGTACTGTAAAGTACATGTTCTCTTTAGAATCTAACAATCCAATGGGATAATGCAATGCTATGTCCTTACAAATGAAGAAAGCTAAGATCAAAGGATGCTGCTCATGTCCAAATAAGTGGAGAAGCTAAGAGTCAAAGTAAGGTTTTCCTAATTCATAGGCCAGGAAGTCTCACAGTCTCATATATATAATTATTGCCATAAGATAATGAAAGGTGTTGTAAATAAAATCTAATAAATAAAAAATGTCTTATAACATATAATCAAAATACTTTATAATACAGATGAAGTTAGGAAGAAAAGAAAGAAGACTACAAAAAATCTAGCTTTAGGTTCAGCCACCAGAATATCAATGGACATATCACAACCACTCAAAACCTTCGTTTTCTCATCTATTTCATAAGGATATTTTTAGGGAATTAAATATAATAATGAATATAAGTATGCTATATAAACTATAAATAATTGTACAGTTAATATATACCCACAATTTTCTCTAGTTCAACCAACACAATCAATGGACATTCAAACTACACTAAGGCTATGTCCAAAAATAGAAAGTTAGCAGGTATATTTAATACAGATGTAATACATGACTGAACAAGAACAGCCCTCTTCTCTGAGCAGTTTTTAGCAAATATTACTCTAGCACGTTAACATGACAATACGTTTACATTCAACTGATGATAATAGTTTTAGGTCACCTGAGTGGCATAGGATACTGTTTCAATGCCTTCATGTCTCAGCAAAGTGTGCCTGGCTTTATTCTGTTTCCTTAAGAACTTCTTTTCAGTTTTACCGAGTTTGCCATTACTTTGATGGTTGCTATCCATGGCAATACTGAAAAAAAAAAATACAAAATGTCAACTTAAGAGTCCTAAAGGGACAGTTATAAAGATATTATTCGTATATTCTATAGTTTATAAATAGTTCTATGTGACAATTCTTTTAAATTCTTACTTGACCTTTTACCAACCAAGAGAAGTGAGAATAAACAGGTGCAATAAAGAAATACTTAAGAAGGTAACAAAGAAGCAAGAACATCTAATAGCATGTCTTGGGATTCTACAAAACATCCCAATGCTCTACCTCTATTAAGTAAGCTATTTTACTATAGGTAATGGATCCCTTTACTTATGAAGTTCTAGGTAAAATGTTCCATAGACAAATTTCACAAACATAATATTAGGAAAGAAAAAAGAAGGAGAAACAAAACAAAGATTTTAAAGAATATACAGTATGATTCCATTTACATACAGTTCAAAATCCAAAAGTAAGCCATATATTGTTTAGAAATATATATAGCAAAATGCAAATAAAGGCAAGGAAATGATTAACACAAAGTTCAGGAAAGAAGTTTTTCTGGCAGGGAAGAGAGAAATGTGATGTGAAAGGGACATAGAAAGTCATCAGTGCTATCTTGTAAGCTATATAGTGTTAAAAGGAGAGGACATGCTGGCCAATGCAGCTCAGTTGGTTGGGGCATTGTCCTGTATACCAAAAGGTGGCAGGTTCCATTTCCAGTCAGAGCACAGACCCAGACTGTGGGTTCAATCCCTGGTCGGGCATGTGTGGGAGGCAACATCGATGTCTCTCTCTCTCTCTCTCTCTCTCTCTCTCTGTCTCTCTCTCTTCCCTTCCTCTCTCTAAAAATAAAAAGTAGAGGGTTTCAACAATAAAGATAATTTTTTTAAAAAGGAGAGGGAATGAGGTTAGAAAGTTTTAGGAGTCATCATTAGACAGGAAGGGGATGATAGCTAAATTGATATTTTTAACATTATACTAATTATAATGGTTTATTCTAATATTTGTCCCCTTCCATTGAACTATGAGCTCTTGAAACAGGGATTAAATTGTATTTTTTGTCTGTTTTCCCAGCGCCTCCTGCAGTGCTATGAGACAGTGTTTAGGGGTCTAAGTTCTAGGTTCAAATTTCAGCTCTACCACTGAAGCTGACCCTGTGTGAGTTAATTATTTACTTCTGTGCTTAGGTTTCTTCACATATAAAATAGGAATAGCGCCTATTCTTGGCACATAACTCCATCCAAACCCTGGACTAAAAAACTTCACCAAACTGTAGTGTGGCTTCTAGCAGCATAAAGCCATGTCCCTAGGATGACCCATATAAATGCCTGAGAAAACAAAATGCTGCCTGGACATTTTACTATTTACTCTAGCAACATCTGACCATAGGCCCCTGACCTCCCTTTCTTAGAGCATTTACTAAAAAGGACTTACAAAATGAATATGTATCTCTGAGAGCCATTCCTTTGAAATGTAATCATTAGGAGAGAGAGGGTCTGTCTCCCAGTCTCTGTGGCAAGACAGAATCCAAACCTGATAACTGCCAGTAGCAAACAAGCTGGCCTAGATGCATGTGCACTGACCAACCTTCTGTATATTTTCACTTGTCTGACTCTACTACTGAGCACCCTGTTCTATCCCAACCCCATCCTCCCTTTAAAACAGCCCTATTGTCAGTACGTAGTTACTAAATAAAATGTTTTCACTGCTGTCACCAATGTCTGGCTATGTTAATCTTTGACACTATCTCATAACTTTGTTACAAGGATTAAATAAGCCTATTATTAAATCACTGTCAATTTTCAGAAGAACCAGGTTAGAATAATTTAAGAAGAAAAGGCGAGGACCTTCAAAGGAACTATATGGCATCTTTGCAGTTCGCAATGGAGAACAGGGGATAAATGCGCTGAGAATTTTTTTCTTAGTATGTCACATGAGCAAAGACTGCACAGTGGAAGAAATGAGAAAGATGTTGCATATGTTTTTCAAAGTCTGACATTAAGAGTCCAGCACCAGCAGATGGAGCCTCATAATCACATTTCTATCATCCCCTTTCCCTTCTCCTTACTCAGTCATGCAATGTTACTATTACATGTGAAGAAACAAAGCCAGATAGCTCTGGATGCTCATTTGTTCCCCATTCCAGTGCCTTGGCAATGGACTGGCCCAGCAGGTCTGTCACCTCAACAAGGAACAGGCTGCTACCAATGGCTGAGGTTTGGAGGTGCTCCCTTTCTACCAAGGCCACTTCCCTGGCCAAGGAATTTCCACTATTGCACAAAGGCTTGGATGCTCCTTGCCATGTCACAGGAGTGTTATGGGATGTTACAGAAGTGAGGTCACTTTGCTGGAACACAAGCCATGCGAGTCAAGTCTAACCATGCTCAGCCTACACACACTCCCTATAGGATAACAAAAGTTTAGAGATCATACATGCTCTGCTAGTAAGTTAAACCCCAATATATCTAATTGGACATTGCCCTAAATGGTAATAGTAGTATATATGTCCATACCCTCCTTAAATAATCCTATATAATAAAAGCCTAATATGCAAATTGTCCTCTCGGGTGGTCATTCGACCAGGAGACCAGGAGTTCGACTGCTCGCTATGACATAAGCTGACCACCAGGGGGCAGAACATGGTGGGCATCAGCAATGTGGCGCTGGCAGCAGGCGGCAGTGGAGGCGCTGCCGTCCCTGATGGGCCCCGATGAGAGTGGGACTGTGGCGGGATGGTGGAGCAGGTGAGTGGGCAGCGCCAGGCCAAGGCGGGTGAGAGCGAGCGTGGGCCAGATCGCCCTGGGCAATTGTCCTGCAGACAGCAACCAGTGGCGGTGGTGGGGGGCGGGGCCACCGCCCAGCTCCCAGATCGATTGCTCTGTAGGTGGGATGCTGGAGCAGGTGAGGGGGCAGATCCAACCCACAGCGGGTTCAGGCATGGCTGTGGGCTGCGAGCTGGGGGTGCGAGCTGGGGCCTGATCCCCAAAGGCTACCCCGAGGGACCCCACCCATGCACAAATTCGTGCACTGGGCCTCTAGTAGAATACCTATAATGAACAAGCACTATAAACAAATGTTCCTGTGCTTATATATAAATTAAACTTAATTATTAGCAAAGATTAGAAAGAACTAAAATTCCTATCAAATGAGGCCTGATTATGAAGTATAGCACAGAAATACAGGGTATCATATAAATCTCTAGGACATATAAGTAATTAGTGATACAGGTTGCCTCCAGGAAGGGGAAATGGGTAGATCAGCATGGCAATGAAAGGAAGCTTTCCTCTTTTGTAACTTTTTAATTTATTTACATATATTTTTATTGATTTTAGAGAGGAAAAGAAAGGAAGAGAGAGAGATAGAAACATTAATGATGAGAGAGAATCATTGATCAGCTGCCTCCTGCACACCCCCTATTGGGGTTTGAGCCTTTGACTTGGGCATGTGCCTTTGACTGGAATCAAACCTGGGACCCTTCAGTCTGCAGGCTGATGCTCTATCCACTGAGCCAAACTGGCTAGGGCAGTAACTTTTTAATTTAGTGGCTATTGAAATTGTATTACCTATTAAAATTCTTTAAAATTTGAAATTAGAAAAAAAAACTGACACCATACTTTTCATATCATCCCATTTTAATTCTTTGAACACCTACGCTATATTTTTATGGCCACATTAATTTGTTTATTCTCCATCTTCTTTCTCTGACTGATTACAAAGTAAGCTCTATGAAAGTAGAAATTCTGTCTGGATTTTTCACCTTGTAGTACTTAGCACCAAGAACAGGATCTAGCACCTAATGAAGATTTATTGAGTAAACCTACACTTATTAAACTTACTAACCCTGCCATCTTACCTCCTAGACCTCTTCTTCAGAATTTTGGGTATGGTTAATGTTTTCACTAATACTCGGTGTGCATCTCTATCCTGTAGTTGTCACACCGTGGCATAATTTTACCTGTTTGCGTGTTGCACTCATCCCTAAGGCTGACATCTACTTGAGGGCACAGACTTGAGTGCCTGGCATACAGCAGAACTGAAATCACTGGCCCGAGGGTCTCGGATTACTCAAGTAAGAACACAGGAAGAGAGGACCCAAATAAACAAAATCAGAAATAAAAGAGGTGAAGTAACAACCGATCCCACAGAAATACAAAGGATTATGAAAAAATACTATGAACAACTCTACTCCAACAAAATGGACAACCTAGACGAAATGGACATATTCTTAGAAAAATACAAGCTCCCAAAACTCACTCAGGAAGAATCAAAAAACCTGATTAGGCCAATAACTACCGAAGAAATTGAAGCAGTGATCAAAAATCTTTCAGCAAACAAAGGTCCTGGTCCAGATGGCTATACAGGGGAGTTCTACCAAACATTCAAAGAAGAACTAAAATCTATCCTCCTCAGACTATTCCAAAAAATTCAAGAGGAAGGCACACTTCCAACCTCTTTCTATGAAGCCAGCATTACCCTAATTCCAAAACCAGATAAAGACACCACAAAAAAGAGAACTACAGGCCAATATCCTTGATTAACATAGATGCTAAAATTCTTAACAAAATTCTAGCAAGTCGGATTAAGCATTACATTAGAAAGATCATAAACCATGACCAAGTGGGATTTATTCCGGGGATGCAAGTATGGTACAATATCCGCAAATCAATAAATGTGATACATCACACAAACAAATTGAGACAAAAATCACATAATCATATCAATCAATGCAGAAAAAGCATTTGACAAAATCCAACACCCTTTCTTGATAAAAACTCTCAGCAAAGTGGGAATAGAGGGATCATACCTCAACATAATAAAAGCTTTATATGACAAACCTACAGCCAACATCATACTCAATGGGCAAAAACTAAACTTGTTTCCCCTAAGAACGGGAACAAGGCAGGGATGTCCACTCTCACCACTCCTGTTCGATATAGTACTGGAAGTACTAGCCATTGTGATCAGACAAGAAGAAGAAATAAAAGGCATCCAAATTGGAAAAGAAGAAGTAAAACTGTCTTTATTCACAGATGACATGATACTATACATAGAAAACCCCAAAGACTCCATCAAAAAACTACTAAACCTAATAAATGAATTTGGCAATGTAGCAGGATACAAAATTAACACCCAGAAATCTATGGCCTTATTAATACACCAATAATGAACTCACAGAAAGACAAATGAAAAAAAAATCCCATTTACGATTGCACCAAAAAAATTAAGATACCTAGGAATAAACTTAACTAAGGAGGTAAAAGGCCTGTACTCGGAAAACTACAGGACACTGAAAAAAGAGATAGAGGAAGACATAAACAAATGGAAGAATATACCGTGTTCATGGATTGGTAGAATCAACATCATTAAAATGTCCATACTACCCAAAGCAATCTATAGATTCAATGCATTCCCCATTAAAATACCAACAGCATACTTCAAAGATCTAGAACAAACTCTCCAAAAATTCATCTGGAATAATAATAAAAAAAAAAGACCCCGAATAGCCACAGCAATCCTGAGAAAGAAGAACAAAGTTGGAGGGATCACAATACCAGATATCAAGCTATATTACCAAGCCACAGTTCTCAAAACTGCCTGGTACTGGCTCAAGAACAGGCATAGATCAATGGAACAGAACAGAGAACCCAGAAATCGACCCAAGCCATTATGCTCAATTAGTATTTGATAAAGGAGGCAAGAGCATACAATGGAGTCAAGACAGTCTCTTCAATAAATGGTGCTGGGAAAACTGGACAGATACATGGAAAAAAATGAAACTAGATCACCAACTTACACCATACACAAAAATAAACTCAAAATGGATAAAGGACTTAAATGTATGGGAAACCACAAAAATCCTACAAGACTCCATAGGCAGCAAAATATCAGACATATGTAGTAGCAGTATCTTTATCGACACAGCTCCTAGGGCAATGAAGACTAAGGAGAGAATAAACAAATGGAACTACATCAAAATGAAAAGCTTCTGCACAGCAAAAGAAACCATCAACAAAACGACAAGAAAGCCCACTGCATGGGAGAGCATATTTGCCAATGATATTTCAGATAAGGGTTTAATCTCCAAAATTTACAGAGAACTCATACAACTTAACAAAAGGAAGATAAAGGATCCAATAAAAAATGGGTAAAGGACCTAAATAGACACTTTTCAAAAGAGGACATTCAGAAAGCCAAGAGACATATGAAAATATGCTCAAAGTCACTAATCATCGGAGAGATGCAAATCAAAACAACAATGAGGTACCATCTCACACCTGTCAGAATGGCTCTCATCAACAAATCCACAAACGACAAGTGCTGGAGAGGATGTGGAGAAAAAGGAACCCTCGTGCACTGCTGGTGGGAATGCAGACTGGTGCAGCCACTGTGGAAGACAGTATGGAGTTTCCTCAAAAAACTAAAATTGGAACTCCCATTTGATCCTGTGATCCCACTTCTAGGAATATATCCCAAGAAACCAGAAACACCAATCAGAAAGGATATGTGCACCCATATGTTCATAGCAGCACAAGTTACAAAAGCTAAGATCTGGAAACAGCCTAAGTGCCCATTAGCAGATGAGTGGATTAGAAACTGTGGTACATCTACACGATGGAATACTATGCTGCTGTAAAAAAGATGGAACTTTTTCGCAACAGCACGGATGGAACTGGAGAGCATTATGCTAAGCAAAATAAGCCAGTCGGAGAAAAATACAGTGGGGCCTTGACTTACGAGTGTCCTGACTAACGAGTTTTTTGAGATAACAGCTGTCTCAAAGGAGTTAATGAGCTCCTTAACGAGCTCGGTCTCGGAACGAATTAAACTCGTAAGTCAAGGCTCCACTGTATCACATGATCTCACTCATATGTGGGATATAACTATCAACATAATTTGATGAACAAGAATAGATCCAGAGACAAATGGCAGGGGAGGGGGGGGTTAGAGAGCAACCAAAGGACTTGTATGCATGCACATGAGCATAACCAATGGACACAGACACTGGGGCGGGGGTTGGGGGGGGGAGGGGGAAATGGGGGGGGGAAGATATATGTAAAACTTTAGACAATAATTTTAAAAAAGAGCACAGGAAGATGCAGCTGTGAGAGTGACCAGACCTCCAGCAATGCCTTTCCGTCGCGGGATTGGCACAGGTCAGAAACCCCAAGAAGCACCGAACTACCACTCCCCAGGCTACAAAACCCGCAGTTCCCAAGGAAACCTATGACTGACCCAGACACCACGTGAGCGTCCGCGCAAACACAGACACAGGCCCTTCAAACACAGACAGGGCCACCCAACGGCGCAGCCTACAGCCCAGGGAGCGCACCCAGAAACGCGGGGACGGCCTCCTCCCCCTGGGTCCTCAGCCCAGCGCGGGGAGGCCGGAGGAGACCCGCACAGGCCGGCGAGCGAACGCGACGATGGCAGTCATCGTGCCCGCCCCGCGAGTGCTCTCTCCTCCGCCCGCCTCTCCCATCTCGTCCAGACAGTGCGGCGGGTACGCGCGCCTCCCCTCACCTGGGCGCAGCCATGTTGGAGGCGACGGCACTACATTTCCCATGAGCCTGCGGGCGACGCAGGGCGCTCCCACAATCCCCTTCGCCACCCTGGCGTTCCCCATCCCGTCTTTCTCTGCCAAGACGCTTTGGCCAGTAAATCTTCCTCCGTAACAGTGAAAAGTCTTATTTGGGGAAATAGTAAGGGTTGGGAGGGCAGCGTATTTGGGGTAGCTCCGAAAGGGGCACGGCCAAGCGGGTTTGTGTCCCTCGGGCCCTGGGGTCTGAAAGATGACATCGCATGAGGGAGGGGAGGAGGGAGGGAGGCAGGGACGGGGAAGGGACTGAAGGAGGGATGGACAGGAGATGCTTGAAGGCGCCAGGGGAGTGGTGAGTACCACGGAGTGACGGAGGATGTGTGGAAGAATGTGGACACACACATCTGGCTGTGCCAGGTTCTAGAAGACTTTACATGTCGTTATTCTGTAGGCTAAGGGGGTCCCCGAAAGGACTGGAGTAATAGGACCGGCGCTTCTCGTGGAAGGTGGAAGGCGAGACCACAAGTAGAGAGACCAGCCCCGCCGAGTGGCTCATTCCGTCGGGGCACATGGCCTGGTTGTGGGCTCGGTCCCCAGTGTGGGCGCGTGCAGGAGGCAGCCCATCAATTATTCTCTCTCATCACTGATGTTTCTCTCACTCCCACTCCCTTACTCTCAGAAATCAATAAAAATGTATTTAAAAAAAAATAAAAGTAAGGAGACCATTTAACAGGCTGTTGCAATGGTAAAGTGAAAAGTAATAAGTGATTAACTGGGACACAGCAGTGGCCGACACAAAGGAAACACATTTGGAGTAAAAAAAGACGCAGGAGAGGGTGCTAATTAGCCATTGATCCTGCTCTCCTGTTATTTGTGTGGCATAAATATAATCATTGTGCCTACATTGGATTATGAGCTACATAAGTGCAGGGAAGGAAACTTGGGAGTGGAGAGGAAATACTCCCTTATATGTTGATACAATACCCCTATTCCCACCCCCACAACCCTGGACTATCAGTAAAGGGTAGGGCGGGCTGGCCAGTCAGTGCCCTTAGTGGCACTGAAAAGAGACTGTTGTTTGGAGGAATGATTTGTATGAAGAACAGGTTAGAAGGAGTAAAGAACAGAAGTTGGTAGGCAGCTAGGCAGCCATTGCAATAGTCCAGGAAAGAGCAGTAAGGTTAAAACTGACTAGGAAAGTGAAGAGGCAAAAGCAAGCTAGAGAGATCAGGTCCACCAGACTTTGCAAACTTCTGAAGAGGGCAAAGAGGAAACACGTTCACCCATCATGGTCTTGCTCTGTTAGGACTTCCTGTAATGATGGGAATCTACACTAATAAAAGACAAAGATGCTAATTGACCGTACCTTGGCTATGCCCCAAGCCACGCCCACCAGCCAATCAGAGCGACTATAAGCAAATTAACCCAACCAAGATGGCGGCTGGCAGCCATGGAGCTGGAGCAAGCAGGAGGCTTGGTTGCCCTGGCGATGGAGGAAGCCAACCTTCCCGCCTGTCCTGAACCAGTTGTGGCCTCCACTCATGGTAGCAAAGTTTCAATTGTAGAAGATAAATAAATCCCAGATACCTGCTTCCAGCCAGCCTCCACTGGGAGCTTGGGTGGCTGGGGGCTGTGGCCAGCCTGCAAACAGCCATCAGCCCCTCACCCAGCCTGGCCACACCCTCATGGGGTGAGGGTCTCCACTGGGGGGGCTTAGCCAGCCTGAAAACGGCCCTCAGCCCCTCACCCAGACTGGCCAGGCACCCCAGCAGGACCCCCCACCCTGCAGGGGCTGTGGCCAGCCTGCAAATGGCCCTCTGCCCCTCACCTGGGATGGCCAGGCACCACAGTGGGGACCCCCAAACTGAAGGGGCTGTGGCCAGCCTGCAAACAGCCATCAGCCCCTCATCCAGGCTGGCCACGCACTCCTATATAATAAAAGGGTAATATGCAAACTGACCCTAACAGCAGAAAGACTGGGAATCACTGGTCACTATGACACACACTGACCACCAGGGGGAGCTCCCACAGGGGGAGCTCTGCTCAGCCACAAGCTAGGCTGACGGCTGCCAGTACAGCGGTGGTGGTGGGAGCTTCTCCCACCTCCTCAGCAGCGCTAAGGATGTCCGACTGCAGCTTAGGCCTGCTCCCCGCTGGCAAGTGGACATCCCCTGAGGGCTCCCGGGCTGCCAGAGGGATGTCTGAGTGCCAGCTTAGGCCCAATCCCCCAGGGAGCAGGCCTAAGCCAGCAGGTGGTCATCCTCCAAGGGGTCCCAGACTGCGAGAGGGCAGAGGGACACCCACCCGCCCAGTGCACAAATTTTTGTGCACCGGGCCTCTAGTCCAATATAATAAAGATGTAATATGCAAATGGCTATTACACCTTGACGTGTAATGACCGACCATGTAACGACCAGATCACGGATCAGCAGGAGGGTGCGGCAGTGAGCTACAAGTGGGCGGTGGAGAGCTACAGGAGGTGGCAGGGCAGCAAGCTATGGGGCGGGGGGAGAGGACAGGGGGAGAGCTACAGGAGGGCGGCAGCAAGCTACGGGCGCATGGATTCGTGCGCAGGGCTACTAGTGTTTTATAATATGAGTTGTCCAATATGGTAGCCATAGGCACATGTAGCACTTGAGCATTTCAAGTATGGCTAATACAATTACAAAACTGAAGTTTGAATTTTAAAAATTTAAATAGCTTCATGTGGCTAGTGTCTACCAAATTGAACAATATAAAGTGTCCCCTCATCTCCTGTTGGCCAAATTCAACTATTTTATTTCTGTATCCATCCTCCTTGAAGGTACTTTTAGAACTTTCGAAATCCTTAGAGTTCTTGAAACTACTGTCTCTTAATGTTACCAGGAAACCCCTAGGTGGGCTTGGGCCGCCTGTGGCTGTGTTCAATAAGGAAGGCAGGGTTGAATCATATTAAGCATTTATTGTGAAGGCTAGCCAATCAGGAAGACAGGACCCTTACAAGTATCAAATCCTATCTTCCAGCAAGGTGCAGGGGACAGGATTATATAGGGGAAGGAGCTAGGGTGAGGCCAGGAATAGATGTCAGCTATTGTCCTTTAGTCATCAGGTGATGAAATGATGTTGATGAGATGATGTTTTGACTCCTGCTGGGTCGGTCTGACCCTGCTTATCGGTTCTGCTTGCTGGATTCACAGCTGAGTCACCTCAATAGCTTTGCACAGGCCATGAAAAAGAAACTTAAAGAAAAACGTAACCCCCTATTCACATAAGTATATGTGTTCCAAGATTTAAAATAATATGATTACTTTTCAGATTAATTCAGGTGCTCTATCTATCAGGTTATAGGTCCCCCCTAACACGAACTCTCTTCACACATTCTCATCACTTGTTTTCAGTTTTTCACTAGCTTCCCTCCCTCCTTCCACAATTAAATGCAGGCAATGCTTCAGGTTTTGTGTTTGACCCTTTATCTTATTCTACAGTCTTTCCCTGTGTGCCTCCTGGAGGTTTAGAGAGGTTTGTGAATCATTCCCTAATCTTTATTTTCAGGCCTGACTTCTCTTTGTTCAGCCCTGGCTTCCATTTAAGAGGCAGTTTGGTTTAGTGAAAACAATATGGGCATTAGAATAGGACCTGAAGTAGAAACTGCAAAACAGCATTTACCTTTAGGGGTTGATGTAATAATTACCATTCATAAAGTAGCTGTTAAATGGTTGTTCATCTCTGAATTACAGGCCCAAGTTTCCAACAACCTGCTGTCTACCCTGTCTCTGTGACCTTAGGAAAAGGTGAATACATGTATAATTTTGCATGCAATTCTTTTTATGTAAGTCTTTATCTTTTCTATCAATGAAGATGACTTCCTGAAGCAATTTTCAGTTGCATTAAGATCCTGTTTGATTCATTATTTAATTCCACTGTCTTCCATAGTCTTGTAATAATAGGAATTCAATAAATATTGAACTGAAAGAAATTTAATTTGAAGATAGAATGTATCTTCACCTGTGCCTAAAGCTTTACATGGTGATCTGTAATAATTTTTGAAAGGTATCACATGCTCACCTAATAACTTTTCTTAGTAAAACCCTAGTCTCTGCTTCAGCCCTCTATGCAACTAGTGCAGGGTTGGCAAGATTTTTCTATGAAGAACCAGATAACATTTTCAGCTTTGTGGTCACACATGGTCTCTGGTCACATAGTCTGTTTTGGTTTTCTTTTTATTTTTTTTAACAACCCTTTAAAAATGTAAAATTACAGCTTCCTTAGCTCCCTTGGCTTATGCCAGCAAGATTTGGATAATGGGCTCTAGTTTGCTGACCTCTGGACCCTATAATCTTGAGCACAGTGTCAAGGTAAAGCTAAGATTAGCACCACCACTGAAGACATTTATTATGAACTAGAGGCCTGGTACACCAATTTGTGCATGGGTGGGGTCTGGCCGGTCTGCCCCAATCGGGGTGATGGGGGGGAGGGGCTGTGGGCGGTTGGCCAGCTGACCCCTGGTCAAATTCCCGGTCGAGGGGACAGTTTGCATATTAGCCTTTTATTATATAAGATTACAGTATAAATGAATTTAATTGGGTTAGCTAACACTACATTTTAAAACATGAAAAAGCTGAGGTCTGCCCCACAGTCGAGTCCTAGAAATTAAGGCTAGGATCAGCATGTCATTTAGAATTGCTTTTGGTTGCCAGTGACAGAAAATTGATCTGATTGTTTAAATAAATAGCTATTTTTCCTCAAATGACCAGCTATCAGGCAAAAGTAATCACTGGCCTTGGTTTTGCTGTTCAAAAACGTCATCAAGACATTTCTAGTCTCCTGTTCCACCATCCTTGGTATATTAATCTTTATCCTCATTCTTGATGCCTGCTGGTTATGAGGTGGCTTTTGCACTAGGATCTCCAGCTGGAAAAAAGCAGCAGAGTCTCCGTCTTTTCATCCAAAAGATGAAGCTCCAGATGGTCACCCCACCTTGTTACTTTGCTCACACATGGATTGCATGCCATTATAGGCAGAATAA